TTTTTTTTGAGAGAATTTTTTTAATATTTATTTTTTAGTTCTTGACAGACACAACATCTTTGTTGGTATGTGGTGCTGAGGATCGAACCCGGGCCGCACGCATACCAGGCGAGCGCTACCGCTTGAGCCACATCCCCAGCCCTGCACCTGGGAAGTAATAAGAAAACTGAAAACCAAGGGGAAATCTGTCAGTCATAGCATGGGTGTAAGTGACAGCTGACTTCTCATGGGAAACCCAGGAAGTCAGAGGGCAAGGGGAAGGCTTTGTAACAGCACTCCTTCAGAAACAGGGTAAACAGAGACATTTTAGTGAAATGAAAGGCAGAGGGTACTCAAAATACGGAAGGGAAAGGGTGCTGGAGAGGAGCTCAGCTCTGGAGGTAGGAACAAATGGCCGTGGGTGAGTGTGTGTGTGTGTGKGGGGGGGTGGATTTCCAGGAGACTTTTGAACTATCTTTCCTCTTCTACATCCAGGAAGTCAAGTGGAGAACTTCGGTAGTCTGCTTTCCTTAACAGTGTGGACAGAGGGTTCACTCAGTGGCCATGGTGTGATGTTTCTGGGGAGGCATGAACTGCTTATCCGAACACCAAGAGGAGACAGGAGGGGGCTGAACAGGTGACCTCAGAGGGAAAAAAGGGGATGAGGGAACAGCTTCAGAGACACCACACCCAGCTGCATCCTGGTAGCTCAGGAGCACCAAGGATTAAGCAGACCTCTTTGTGGCATGAAGGCTGGACTCCTGAGAGCTGGATGGGATGATGGCTGTCCCAGTGGACTCCTACACAAGGWCAGTTAGGTCTAGATGTCCCCTCTCCCAGCCCAGGCCAGCCAGAGTAGACACACTATGGAGCTGGCTCTGCTACATTCCCCCAGGGGCCTCCCAGCATGTCCATATGGTCAAGTCCTTCACCACACTCTTTCGGTGTCCAGCAGCACTGGCATGACTACTATGTGACTAAGGGKAACAAGATGAGGAACATTTGTCAGGGTCTATGGGACATTTCCATGCAGTTCAGTCTTTTTTTTTTTTTAATATTTATTTTTCAGGTTTTGGTGGACACAACATCTTTTTTTTTTTTTAAGAGAGAGAGAGAGAGAGAATTTTTTAATATTTATTTTTTAGTTCTCAGCGGACACAACATCTTTGTATGTGGTGCTGAGGATCGAACCTGGGCCACACGCATGCCAGGCGAGCGCGCTACCGCTTGAGCCACATCCCCAGCCCCTGCAGTTCAGTCTTCTAAGGATGTCCACTACCCCCCACATAATGGTGGACACTGAAGTCAGTACAAAGTGAAGAGGAAAAGGGGCTGGTGTATACCTAGGCAATGGAGAGTCTCTGCAGAATTCTTCCAATCACCCAATCTGCACAGTGTGAGCAAAGGGCTCGGTTCCCCTGCTGCCTGGGTGCAATGAAAACTGTCTCCTCCCAGCAACGTATTTGGAACTGCAGCACATACAACTCCATACACATCTTTTTTTCTTCTTGGCTGGTCTTGCATTTATCAGAACTCCTGTTTGTGAAACATAATAAACCTGTAGCAGTGTCAACAAAGGCTTGAGCTTCCCAAGCCAATGTCAGTACTAACAATTACATACAAATTTGATCAAGCACATTACAGAAATGTCTGAGTCATCTTTTTCTTCCATCTAGAAAACAATTCTGAAAATCATGAGGAGGCAAAGAAAACACAAAGTAAAAATAGCAAGCAAAAGCATTAAAGACATGCACCATGCAATTGCTAATTCACACAGTTGTTATTTTTCTGAATGTTGTGATGCTTGTGGCATTTATATTTTCAAAAATTATAATTTCTCACTATACAAAATTTTTGCAAAACATTACAGAATTATTGTAAAATAACACACACACACCTTACACATTATACGCATATCAAGCTGGGAGTGTTGCTCAGTGGTAGAATACATGCACAAGACCCTGGGTTCAATCAACAGTACTGCCAAAAAAAGAAAAAGAAAGGAAAGGAATGGGATATTATAGTCCAGCCCGGTGAAACACRCCTGTAATCCCAGCCACTCAAGAGTTAGGCTAGTAATTTAGGAAGACCCCGTCTCAAAAGAAAGAGGTAGGGATGTAGCTCAAGGGTAAACTGCACCTGTGTTCAATCCCAGTACCAAGCAAACAAATTATACAAAACACTCATTTCTGTAACTAGTTCTTTTTTCACAGTTTAGCATTCTTTTTCCTAAAGAGACCACACCCCCTACCGTTGTATACGTTTCAGGCACCACAAAACCTGCCCCCAACACTTTTGCCTCCCATGAACTCAACTCCAGAGAACCAGAACTTTAAATCCAGTGAACCAGAACTTTAAATCCAGGGCAGAGTAGAAAAGCTAAGGTATGAACGGACCTAACAAAGACAGCTAGGATAGTGCATTTCCCAAGTCCTGCCTGGGCACCACTTTGTCCACGTGGCCAGGCCCTGGCCATCCCCAAAGATGTGGCCAGGAAGCTAGGTGTGGGCCCCAGCAGGCGCCCGTCCAGGTTGCAAGGTTGAGCACGCTGTGCAAACCTGCCCGGCCCTGCCGGGGCCTGAGCGTTGGGGACTCTGGGACCGGTCCTCCGACAGGCCAGGCGCAGCACCGCCACAGGCACACCTCCTCTCCCCCCCCGCCCCCCCGACAGGTGCGCCCCGTTCCCAACACCCCTCTCAGGGCTCACTCCCCCCATCGATGTCCCTCCTCCCCCGCAGCCCTCTCCCGCTGCCCCCTCTTCTCTCGGTCCCCTGCTCCCCTCCTTTGCCCGCATCGGTCTTTCCCCGAGCCCCTCTGTTCCCTCATCTCCTTTCTCCCGCACCCTTCTTCTCTCTGGGCCCCGCATCACTCTTCCCCGAACCCCTCTTCCCCCGCTGGCGCCCGCGCCGGCGCCCCCCAGCGGCCACGCGACTCTGCGGCCGCGGGGCCCTGACGTCGCCTCCCCACGTCGCCCGCAGGCGGCCCCGCCACCCGCCACCCAGACGAGCCGAGCGCGGATTGGCCCTGATCTGTGGAAAGTGCCCGCCCCTCGGGCCTCGGGCCAATGGGATACGGGGGCGGGGTATCGGCGCAGGCGCCGGAAGCGGGGAGGCGCCGAGGGGACGTCGCGTCGCCGCGCCGGGTCTCGAGCAGCTGCCGGAGCCGCCCGACGGACCGCCGCCCCCGCCGCCGCGCCATGGCCGAGAGCGACTGGGACACCGTGACGGTGCTGCGCAAGAAGGGCCCCACGGCTGCGCAGGCCAAGTCCAAGCAGGTGCCTGGCCAGCCGGGGAGCGGCCGGGCCGGGCGGGGTGGTCCTTGGGCTGGGTCGGAGAATGGGGCAGTGGGCGGGGACGGGGGGGGGGCTTGAAGACCGCAGGCGTGGGAATTTCGACGAGATGGGATGGATCCGCAACAGGAACCGTGGGTTGGGAGCCCTGGGGACCCTGGAGAGGAGTCGGGTGGGGGTAGGGGCTAGGGGCAGAGGGCAAGGAGACTTGGGCAAGGCTGGGGACAAGGGTCAGGGGTTGGAGAACGGAATAAGAACTCAGTGCTGAAATAAAAACTCAGCGCTGCGGCAGGGGACTACTGTGGAGTTGGGGCCCCGTCGGGTACAGKTGCGAGAACAGGGCAGAGAACCTGGGGTGGGGGTGTGGGGACCAGCGGTGGACTGAGGGGCAGGGCCACTGGGCCCCGGCAGGACAGGCTCCTCCCTGAGGGTTTTCTCCCTCCTGGCGCCTACAGGTTGTGTCAGTGGTTTGCTGCCCACAGAGCCCAGCTAGGTGCAACATGGGCCGTGGGAGGTGCTGTCTGGGTCGGGGCGGCCCGAGGCCCTGCTGGCAGGTGGACCCTGCCTTTCTGACCTGCAGAGGGAGGAGATCCTGTGTCCTGAGTGGTGCTGGAGGCAGGAGCCGCAGGAGGTTACTACTGTAGCACATCCCTCCAGTGGTCATTGGTGCATCCATGTCATCTGGAAAGGCTCTGGCTGGAGTCTTAGATACACAGTACAGGCCAGGCCTGGAAGGGCTGGGGTCCTGGAGTCAGGCATTCTCCACTAGTCTTGGGCTTATCAGTTGCACAGTCAAAACCAGATTTACTCTCTTTTCAAGGAAACTTAATATCCACAAGCTGGAGTCACATGAACTGTTTGAAAAGCATCTTTGAACATATTACACTTAGAATGGCTCACAAGTTACTTCTTTGAAGCATGAAGAGATGCCTTATGTTAATGCTCAGTGACCATGGACCCCACAGAATCACTGCTATTGGTCATGTTTCCAGGGAGACTGCAGGTTTCTGTGGGATGCGTCATCTGTCTCATTAGGAGTCAGACTCGGAGGAGGCAACACCAGGCCAGCAGGCATTCCTTTCTGCTTTGCAGAGTTGTTAGAGAAGTAACTCTATTTCAAATATGAATTTCTAAAAAGAATCCAATAGTCTCTTTTTTTAATACAAAAGAAGTGAACTGTTTCTTAGTAGCAGGTTATTGGGAGTTATCTATGTATTTGATTGAAAAGTGCTTGTATATAGTGGCCCCCTTTGTCTTCAGGGGACACATCCTTAGGCCCTAGTGGATGTCTGAAACTCTGGGGAATTCTGGACCCTGTGTGCTCTCTGTTTTCTATTCATACATATTTATGGCAGTTTAATGTAAGAATTAGGCACAGTAAGACCAATAGGGATGTCCATGTACTGTAGTAAAAGTTACTTGAATGTGAACGTGGCGTCTCCTGTGTTTACCTTGCTGTGCTGAAGTGAGACGAAGCAGTACCTACATGAGGAGAGGAAGTGAACCACAGAGACCTGTGCAGGGGCATTAGGGTACTGTGTGCGGGTTACATGAACACAGGTGCCACTGTGTCAATATCTTGGCAATTGATCTTATAACCGGGAAGGCTCTGAGTGAATAATGGGTGCCAGGCAGAAGGATTTGTGTCTCAGTAGGACAGAGTGCTGAGGACATGAAATTTCATCACACATTCAGAACATGCAGTTTAAATCTTATGTTTATTATTGGCATTTCCATGTAACATTTTGGACTGAGGTTGATCATGGGTGATTAAAACATGGGAAGCACCAGGCGCAGTGGCACACACCCGTAATCCCAGTGGCTCAAGAGGCTGAGACAGGAGGATCATGAGTTCAAAGCCAGCCTCAGCAAGGGTGAAGAGTGAAGCAACTCAGTGAGACCCTGTCTCTAAATAAAATATAAAAAAGGGCTGGGGATGTGGCTCAGTGGTTGAGTGCCCAAGTTCAATCCCTAGTACAGAAAAAATAGAACCAGACCATAGGCTGCAAAGCCGTGGCTGTGGGACCACTGTGACCAGCTTGCCCTGTGGGGCCCAGCATCACGTTAGCCCTTCAGAGCTGCTGGTGGAGTGCGGGTTGACTCACAGCAGCTGACACTGTGTGCCTGATACTTCTGAAGCTGGTTTTGATCAGAGACCGTTCTCTAACTTTCTAGGCCATCTTAGCAGCTCAGAGACGAGGAGAAGATGTGGAGACGTCCAAGAAATGTAGGTACCCGCGTCTCCACTTGCAAAATGCAAACGTGCTGCCAGGGTCATCTGCCATGCTGTGCAGTGGCTAGGCAGTGCTGAGGCCCTGTGTCAGGAGCACTGGAGAGCTGGGGGTGGTGTGAGGTCAGCCAGACCATTACCTTCCACCCACTTCTTAAGCTGTCAGTCAGCTCTGGTAGTATGTGTTCTTAGGCCTGTGAGTTTGGGGCCAGTGTCACCGTGGGCCTGGGAAGCCTGTTGGTCTGATCAACATTCTGAAATTGCTTTTTCCTTGTGTCAGTTGCAACTTTTTCCTCTGCTCTATTCATACTGAACCACAGGGGCTGCTGGCCAGAACAAGCAGCATTCGATCACCAAGAACACAGCCAAGCTGGACCGGGAGACAGAGGAGTTGCACCATGACAGGGTGACCCTGGAGGTGGGCAAAGTGATCCAGCGGGGCCGGCAGAGCAAGGGGCTGACACAGAAGGACCTGGCCACGGTGAGGCTCTGGCAGCTGTGGGCCTGGGGAGGCCCGGAACTGATGCTCAGCTGGGGTGGGGTGGGCTCACCACCTGGTGGTTCTCAGGCCTTCAGTCTGGGCTTGCACCCAAAGCTTCCAGGGCAGCCAGGTTAGAGCAGCTGCGGCTTGCTCTCCTGAGACTTGGCTGCTCAGGGTAAGGCCTGAGCCTCTGGGAGCTGGCTGCCCTGTGGGGGCTGACTTGGCTTCTGCAGCACACCCCACTGGGTTGGTGCATCTAAGGCACACCTTCTCTTCAGAAAATCAATGAAAAGCCGCAAGTCATCGCAGATTACGAGAGTGGACGAGCCATTCCAAATAACCAGGTTCTGGGGAAAATCGAGAGAGCCATTGGTGAGTGTCCTCTGGCTTAGTCCTGGCAGGGGCAGCACTCTCCTGGGAGGTGGTAGGATGGGAGCACCTGGGGCCCTGTTGTCTGAGGTCAGGCCACTAGGATTCTGCCTGTGCTGTTTGAAGCCCTAAGGAAATAGTGTCACAGGTTCTTGGCCCTATATCTCCCTCTGGCTGCCAGCCAGCATTCTCCCTGAGCTGAGTACAGAGGGACCATGGCCCTCTGGGATCTGCCCTCCAAGGTGTTAGCCACACACCACAGTCTGCTCCACAGTGCCCCTCTGCCGTAGCTGAACAAGGGGCTCTTCTGGGATAAGATGTTTGTCCCCATTTTTCTAAATTAGCAGTTCATGCTTTTAAATGTTAGATGCAAAAGTTAGTCATGCCTGTGTGCAAAGCCCTGCCAGGAATGAGGTAGCCCCTCCCCAGGCAGGCCCAGGAAAATGAGGAAGGGAGCTGGGGCCCAGGGCGGAATGGACGCCTGCTGCCAACCTGGGATTGACAGGCTGGCACTCTGGCGCTGCAGAGTGGTGAGCAGGGTCCTGGCTTGTTGCAGGCCTCAAGCTCCGGGGGAAGGACATCGGGAAGCCCATCGAGAAGGGCCCGCGGGCGAAATGAGCACAAAGCCTCGAAACAGTGCGTTCCGGCTGCTCTTCTGGCTGGTTCCCCTGACCACCAGCACTGACGTGGGTCTTCTCACATGACAAGCGGAACATGGGGTCAGGCCTGTGGGCCCTCAACCCATACCTGCTGTCAAACAAAGCAAAACCTTGCAGAGTGCTGGCTCCTCCTGGCTCTTTCCTCCCTGCCCTCATCCCTTGGACCCTGTGCAGAGCAGCGCCTTCCTGCCGTGGGCATGTGCTCAGAGCAGCTGCAGCATGGAGCTCTGGGGAGCCCTGGGGAGCCTTGGGGAGCCCTGGGGAATCCGGAGGATGGGCCGGGACACAGCCTCTGTGCTGCTTTCTCTGCTTTAGCTTTAAAGAGTCCATGGGCATGTGCCCTTCCTGTGGCCTTCAGCCTGCTCTTCTAACTGGGCTTCGGTGGGGGGGGATTGTGTCCCACAGGTGAGCTTCATGACAGACACCCCATTGGGACCCAAGGTTTAAAGATTTATTTCTCCCCTTTTTACCCATCTGCTCAGATATTGACTGGGCATCTATCAACCTCATGGCGCCTGCAGACAGGGCAACGCCTGGCTGTGCCCTGCTCGCGCCTCTGTTCGCTGAGCCCTGGGACAGGCAAGAGCCCATCTGGCTCCTTGGGGCATGTGGTGTCTGAAGTGGCAGGAAGGCAGTACCTGACAGCACAGTGTGGGTGTCACTGCCCTGTCTGAGGACACCCTGCAAGGCCCCAAGTCCTTGCAGCAGGGCCAAGCTGAGTGGAAGACCAGAGCTCCCAGAACCACCCTGGGGCAGAGGTGTCAACGTAGCTTCCTTAGGACCACAGTCAAGTCTTCACACGCTTGCATGCAGGGTCCCCTTCTCTAGTCCAAAGGCCAAAGGCAGCTTGCCTCGGCCCTGCTCCAGTACCATAGGAACCCTGGTGTCCTCAGCTTCACCCCTCAACCTGGGATTGCTCAGCCCTTTATCTTGGGGTGGGGGCTTGTATAGTAGGCTTGGGGGAGCTGTGGGGGGCTGTGGTTGCCAGGCGCCCACCAAGCCAGCTGCATGTCATCATGTCCGTGTGCTGTCACCCTCAAGTGTCCCTGCTGCAGGTGACTCGCATCCCCACAAGGCAGAGGCTGGAGAGCAGAGCAGGTGGGACCCTTGCAGACCCTTGGGGCCTTGGACCTGCTGGATCTGAACAGTGGCTTCAGGTCCTGAAGGCTACCCTGTGTCTGTGGCCCTGCCTGCCTCATGTGAGGCACATGGGAGAGAGTGAGTCATCCTTGGTCCTGAGCTGTATGGTCCCAAGCATGTTTCTTGGGGTCTCTCTTTGGTCTGGTCTGGAATCCTGACGAGGGCTACTCACCCAGTGGCCAGAAATGCATGGATAACTGATCTCAGCTTGAAAACTTGGGCAGTCCTCAGGACTGAGCATTTATTCATGGAGCAAGCACCCTGTGCCATACAAGTGGGCAGTGACTGGACAGGGGAGGGCTGTGGAAGCTCTGTGTCCTCTGAGCCCCCCAATCCAACCTCAGGGGAGGTCAGGTATCTGGGGATGAAGGTGGATCCAGCCTGGGGCCAGATCCGAGGTACATTCAGGGGCCAGATCCTTGTCTGGGATGGTCTATGAGCTGCTGGTGGCAGGTGCTGGAAGGGTGACTCCATCCTGGAAAGGAGGGAGGAGCCTGGTGACAACCACTGAGAGGCAAGGGCAGCAGAGGGTGCTGCAGGGCTTGGATGGGTGGGGCTCTCCCTTGGGGCCCTGACCCACCACTGAGGCCCAATCTCTGCAGTCAGCAAGCCCAAAGGCAGGCCCCACCTGCCCACACCTGGGGGCTCCTACCGCATTGAAGAGGATGTTGTCAAAGCCAGGTGCTGCCACGTCCTTGTTACTCCTGAAGGGGCAGCCTCCCTTCTGCAGCCAGTGGCGTCCCCCAAGTCCCAGCAGCACCAGGAGTATGAGGAAGAGGAGGGCCCCTCCAACCAGGGCTGGCACCATCATGGATGCTGTCATGCCTCCTGTGGGCCAGAGGGCACAAGAGCCCTTCACACCAGTCACCCGCCATGCCTGGGGGTGAGGATTAATCCTGGGGCTATCTGGTTCCCCTAATCCTGCTGGCTCTGGGTTCACCCTCTTCAAATGAGAGAGTGTTGGTACTGTCTACACAGGCTACAGCAGCAGGCTGGGGGTCGTGGCCCTCAGCCGTCTGCACCTATGCCAGGGACTGGCCCTGCACTGGGCCCAGGGAGCACAGCCAGAGGCAAGCCTGGGGAGGGGCCCTGAGGGTTAGAGGGGTAGGTGGGGAGGACACAGGGCTGGCCTGGGATTCTCCTGGGCGGTGTGCAGGGTGCCTCCTTGGAACTGTCTCCAACCTGCAACCCAGTGCTTACCCTGACTGAGTGCAGGCTGCTGGCAATGCTGCCCGGCCAGGTACTCCACATCGTCTAGAGCAATGGGCCCCAAAGCTGGCTGACCACCCAGAGTGGCTTCAAACACGATCTGATGGGGAAGGAAAGGGGTGAGGAATTGGAGGGAGAGAAGAGGGAGGGCAGCTCAGCTGAGGTGCAGTGTCTCACCTGGAACTCCTCGGTGCTGGTCACCTCAACCTGGACTTCTAGCCACTGGTGCCGCAGGTGTCCACCTGTGCCCCACACAGCCAGCTGGCCCTGGGCACTGCTCAGGAGCACCCTCAGCTCTCCCTTGTCTGGAAGTGGGGGCTGGGGTGTCAGGTGCCTGGCTTCATGTGAAGTGGAGCCCCAGACCTCTCTGACCCCTCTCCCCACACCCAGGCATCCAAAGGCCCAGCCCAACTTACAGAAGTGCTCGGGAAATCCCATGTGGTACCAGAAGCGGAGGCAGGAAGCCGTGGTGGCTGGCAGAGGCTCACTGCGCAGCCAGGCCGCCTGACCCCCTGGCCCCAGCACACTAGTTTCGAAAAAGGCAAAGTGGCCTGGAAATAAAAGGCCAGGGTGCCAAGCTGTCCCCTTGACCCTACCTGTGGTCCTTGGCCTAAGGACCAAGAGCAGGCAATGCCATGTGGTGCCATGGCAGAGTGGCTGTGTAGCTGGGTAGTCACTGCCCCAGCTTGGTCCCCTGCTCTGGCCAGTACACACCTGCTTCTGTGCCTAGGGTGTGGTCCACAGTGGGCAGTGGGTAGCGGGAGGGGGTGTCTCCACCACTCCAGTCCCAGCTGTACCTGCCCAGGCCAGGCCAGGCCAGGCAGCTCCAGCCACACAGGCCAGATTCAAAGTCACAGGACCCTGCAAGAACCAGCTGGTGAGCAGAGCTGTCCCCATTGCCCATCCCAGGGCACTGGCCCCCGCCAGGGAGGGGCAGGAGGGCACCACCTGGCCGAGGACAGGGCCCATCCTGAAGGGAAAGGTCGTCCAGTGCGATGTAGGAGTGTTCCATGCCAGCAGCCAGGGCCTCAAACACCACCTGCAGGTCAGGCCAGGCACTCTGCAGTCTGACCACACAGCACTCAGGGGGAACCAGGATCCCTGCCCCCCAGGGCCCAGGCACTCACCCTCCAGGCCTGCCCAGCCTGCACATCCACGCTGCCCAGGCGCCAGGCAAGCCCACCGTGGCCATAAACACTGAACACCTGGCGTCTCTTGCCCTCCTCCATGTGGACTCGCAGAGTGCCTGCCAGGCCAGGGCCAGTGGGGGAAGACATCCACACAGTGCCCCAGCCCTGCACAGGGCCTGTGGGACACCAGCCCAGCACTGACTCCCCAGGCCCTGCCCACAGCTCCTTACCTGGGTTGTGGAGGCTTAGGTGGTACCAAAAACTCAGGCAGGTGGGCTGAGCCAGAGGCTGGTGCTCCTCTGAGGTCAGGGAGGCCACGTGGCCCTGAGGCAGTGCGACTGGGCTTGTGTCCACCACCATGTAGTGCCCTGGGGAGTGGCCAGCATCAGTCTGCCTGCCCCTGGCTGATGTCCTCCACCCACCCCTTGCCAGGCTCAGTACCTTGGGCTGTCTCTGTGGTATGGTCTGTCTGGGGGCCCCAGGAGGCGTTGGCTTGGCGCTTCCACAGGCCCTGTCCTCCAGTTGAGAAGCCGCAGGCAGAGTCCTCAAAGGAGCAGTGCCTGGGGGCCCAGCAGGGCCCGGGCCGCACAGCCACATCGTCCAGCCCCATGGTGCCATGGTACCCATCCCGGAGGCCCTCAAACAGCAGCTGGGGGTAGAGGGCGTCAGCTGGCTGGGGCATGCCCCCTGCACCCCTCTGCCTGGCACTAGGCTTACCTGGTACTTGGTGCTAGGATCTAGCTGGTGATGGAGGGTGGCCCAAGCCTGGTGCCAGCGGTTGCCATGGGTGCCTGACCGCGACCATAGCAGTGTGTCCTCCTCCCCGTCCCTCCTCATGATTAGGCGCAAGGTCCCTGCAGGGTGGTGGGGTTTGTGGGGATCAGCCCCAACTGCTGATCCCTGAGGCCCCAGCAGGCACCAAACACCTCTTGGATTCCTGGGGCATCCATGGAGGCCCTGCCAGCTCCAAGGCTCACCAATTTGGGGTCCATACAGGTGATACCAGAAGCTGAGACACTCCTTGGGGGTTGCTGGGGTCTGGGGCCCTGTGAGCAAGTGGGCAGCACGGCCACTGGCAGGGGGTTTTGTGGGGTCCAGGAGCATGAAAAAACCTGCAGGAGAGGCACAGGCTGGGCTCAGAGATGCGCTCCCAGGGCTRAGGACCCCCCGGCCTGAAGGCCCTCTTACCTTGGCCAGTGGTGTGGTCATACCCAGGGCCATGGCTCTGTATCCGACGCCAGTGGGCATCTGTGAAGTGGCCCATGTGCCAGCCGCAGGTATTCCGCTCAAAGTTACAGGAAACCTCTGGGGGCAGGGTGGGGTCAGCACCCCATCCACCCACACATCCCTCCTGAGCCCTGGGTGGTAAAGGCTCTAGGGGTCCCTGGAGGTGCGTTGGGAGCCCCCTGGTGGAGGTGAGATGTGGACAGGAGAGACCTTGGTCTTTCTCAGTGGTGGCAGTGGGGCTGCAGTCCCTCATTGTCACGTTGTCCACCCCGGCCCCCTGCTGGCCAGGGATGTCCCAGTCCACTAGACTGACAAACTCCAGCTTCAACATGGTAGAAGAAAGGGACTTAGGTCAGGGCCAGGCCTGTGCCCATCCCACACTCTGGACTGCCCTTCTTACCCGGAATGGCCGGTGGCGTGCTCCAAGAAAGATCTTGTCCACCGTCCAGTCTCCTGTGCTGCTGCTTGGGGCCTGCCACACCAGCTCCCGGGAGCTGCCCTGCAACACCACCAGTGCCAGGAAGCCTGGAGGGAGGGGTCCCGGTGAGTGAGCCTTCCCCAGACCCCTCCCTCCATGTAGGGGTGTCTTGGGACTGGGCAGAGGACCTCGGGTGGGCTGTACCTTGGGGGTGACTGTGGAAGTAGTAAGCCATGTGGAGTTCACAGTTGGGGCCTGAGGGGCCCAGGGGGGATGTGAGGGCCCGGGCCTCAGGCCTCAGCTGCCCCCAGGCCTTCTGTAGAGACAGGAAGTGCCCTGGGCGGGGAAGCAAGGCACTCACAGTCCTGTTCCTTCCAGGCCACCACTCTGTTGCTCAAGGACCCCCAATTCAAAAGGACCCCTGGGGACTCTGGGCCTCACCAGCAGCAGCCCCACGAGCGTCCCTGCCAGGCCCCCTGCTTTCCTGGGCTGCAGCCCGCTGCCACTGCAGCTGCCCCACGCTGGCATCCTCCCAGCCCCCGGCCGTGGCAGCCTCAAAGTCCGTGGTGCCTGCAACAGCAGCAGTACTAAAGGGAGGGTCATGGCCACCGAGCCTCCCGCTGCCTCTGGACGCCTGCACTGGCAGGGTTCTGCAGGAGGCCTCACCACACTCCTGCTCATCCTCGCCCTCTGGGCATTGTTCCTGGAAGTCACACAGCTGCTCTGGGGGCACACACAGGTCCCCACAAGAGAGATATCCCAGCTCACAGACCTCCTGGGGATGGAAGCTGGACGGCTGGGGCTGGAGGGCCTGGACCCAAGGTCGCGTAGGCAGTGACTGTAGGTCAGACCTCCCTGTGGGGTAGAGCTGGGGTCAGGTGGAGGTTGGGGGCCACTGTGCTTCTCCTGGGCAGGCCAGGGGAGGGATTTGGGCAGGTCACCTGGAGCTGTTCTGCAGTGGTCCGACAGGATGAGGTCGTCCAGGCCCACCACGCCTCCTGGACCCGTTTCCCCAGCCAGGAGGATCTGAAGGCAGGGATGCTCAGGGACACACTGGGCCCCTCAGTGCTCCCTGGGGTCTGCTCGCGGACACCCACTCCAGATTCACATGCTACTTGTGCTTTGTAAATGGCTGGACCCCACTCCTTTTGACCCCCAGCCACCACCTGGCCAGTCTCACCTGGAAGGGATGGGCACTCCTGATGTCAACCCGGTCTCGTACCCACACTGCTCCCAGCTCCCCACAGTGCCTCCGCAGGAGGACAGGGTCCTGGGGGGCACTAGGCCCCTGCATCTGCAGGAGCAGCTGGAGGCAGCCGACCTCGGACCCATGCAAGTAGTAGTAGAAGATGAGCTGTAAGTGACCTCAGGCTGGTCAGGGCCTGCAGCACTCAGGCAGACAGGACAGGGGAGCCTGCATGTGTTCCCTTTCCCCAAGTCTCACCGAGCAGTTGTGGGAGCCTGAGGCTTGGAACTCAGGGCTGGAGAGGACAGCAGGGGTGCCAGACTTGGCCACAGAGACTAGGAACATGCCTAGGGGAGAGGGCAGGTGTGAACTGGCATTGCTGGGCAGTTGCAAGGCAGACAGAGCCATGGCTAGGATTCTTTACTTCTTCTTCTTCTTCTTTTTGTGGTGCTGGAGATTGAACCCAGGGCCTTGTGCACGCAAGGCAAGCACTCTATCAATTCAGCTATACCTCCAGCCCATGGCCAGGGTTCTCATGGACCTCACCCTGTGCACTGTTCCAGCTGTGATCTCGGTTTGGCCAGGCACGGTCCTCAGGGCCACCAGCACTGTGGTTCCGGGTCCAGCCTTCTGAGTGGTTCCATGAACCCAGGCCTGACTGAAAGTCAGTAGCCATGTGGTGGCCTTGGGCGGAAGCAGGGCTGTTATGGCCTCCTGCAGCCACAAGGSCAGCCCCAGAGTGGACACTGGCTATTCCACCTCCAGAATGACCATGCCAAGGTATTTCCTCCCAGACCAGCCCCCAGTGTCTTTCAAGGACCCTGGAGGTCAGGGTCCCTCCTCCCAGTCTCATCCTGCTGCCCAGCCCAGCCCAGTCCTGGGTGGCCCTGGCCTCACCGCAGGTAAGCAGGTCTTCGTCGGAGCCATCCCCACAGTTGTCCTCCCTGTCACACAGCTGGTGTGGCTCTATGCAGGCCTTGTTCTGGCACTGATGGTGCCCCAGGGGGCAGCTGGCCTGGGGGGCTGAGTGGGGGCAGGTTAACCTCTACTCTGGCCCCAAGACCTTGGAGTAAGTGGGCATGCTGGGGAAAGGACAAGGTGGCCTGAGCAGGGGAGCAGGTGGTGAGGGCCCCAGGGTGGAGACAGGGTGGCTCACCAGGCAGCCCACAGCCCCAGAACTCCACATCATCCACAGCCACAGCTCCCTTGTGCGTGGCATTTCGGGTAGCAGAAAAGGTCACCTGAAGAGAGCAGAGGTCCTTAGGGCCATTGGAGTCCAGGCCTTCCCCACTCCTCCCTGCCAGCCAGAGCACTCCAGCTCACTTGGAAGTCACCCTGGATACGGCCAGTGGTCACCACCAGCTCCTGCCAGCTGGGGCCCCAGGGTCCTGCACTCTTCCACAGTGTCAGCGTCTCTGTACCATGGGTCAGCTCCAGCCGCAGCTCAGCCACATCTGCAGCAATTGGGGAGGCCCTGGAGCAGTTGCAGCCCTACACTACCTCCCCTGAGCATGCCAGCTATGCCCTGGCCACCCTCCTCTGGGGTGGATACCCTCCTTTCTTCTTCCAGCCCCTCTCCAGAGCCACCTTACCCTAGATCTCTGGGGGTCTTGGGCACACACCTCCAGATGCTGCATGGTACCAGAGTCTCAGCTCACAGGTGGGGGCTGCCTCTTGCAGGACAGGGGAGCGCAGGGCTGCAGTGGATGCCTCCTTCCCACGGTGGGTTCCCACAGCCATGTACCAGCCTGGTCCAGGTGGTGAGGTCAGGAGATGGGCAGCAGGGCAAGAGGGGAGGGTGGGAGTGCACATGGACTTGTGGGGGCCTCACCCAGGTCAGTGCCAAGTGTGTGGTCGGAGTGAGGCCCGGGACCCTCCAGCATAGCCCCTGCTCGGTCTCGGAGCCAGCTGTAGCCCGAGGTGCTGATATCCTGCCAGCCACAGGTATCCTGCTCAAAGCCGCAGGTGAAGGGGGTGCCCGGGATGGGCAAGGCCCCATGGTGCCCTGGGAGAGTGGGTGGTCAGATGTCTGCCCCAGCACTGGCCTGCCCACCTTCCTGGCCCCAGCTCACCGCACTGGGCCTCGTCTGAGCAGTCCCTGCAGTCGCACACAAAGTTGCATGTGGCCTTGCTGGGGCTCCTGCAGTAGTCAAGTAGCCAGGCCCAGCCTGGGGACCATGCTGCTGGCAGAATGACAGCCACGTGGGTCTGGGCAGGGTAACTGGCCATCCCACTTTGCCCAGGACTGATTTTAGCACTGGAAGTTCCATGGACCTGAGCAGTGCAGGACACTGGGCACCCAAATTTGGGGCTCAGACTCACAGGATCAGGCAGGAAAGAACCTGGGACCCACAAAAAACTGTCAAACAGAGCACTTCCCCATGTTCCCAGCCCCGCTGGCCAAGCAGAGGCTGCAGAGCAGAGGTGGGTGTACACAGGAAATGGGGCCTTCAAAGAGGGATACCCCCTGGGCTGAGGTTGTGGCTCAGTGGCAGAGCACTTGCCTGGCATGTGTGAGGGACTGGGTTCAGTTCTTAGCACCTCAAATAAATGAGTAAAATAAAGGTCCATTGACAACTAAAATAAATTAAAAAAAAAAAAAAGAGGGACACCCTTGAGGAAGGTACAGGAGCCCACATCACTCGGGAGAGAACTAAAAGGGCTCCCAGGAGGATGTCCCCCAAGGAGACACAGCATTGGGTGACCCAGTGTCCCCCACAAGCCTTGCCATCCAAGGTGGCAGAGAGAGCTCGGAAGATGCACTGTGATTGCCCCAGGGCCTCTCCTTCGGGCAGAGAGGTTTGTTCCTTGGCAGGCTGCCGTCCTTCTCTAGGGACTCTGGTGTCAGCACTGGCATAGCACCTGTCCCCAGCACCCAGGCAGCAAGCTCAGTAAGACCAGCTGACTCACCCACAAGCAGGACCAGGGCAGACAGGAGGGGGCCCGGAGATCGCATGGCCAGGCTGGAGGGAGTGAGGCTGAGCCGCCTGGTGAGGACTCTGTCCAGTTATCAGTCTTTAGCGGCCCCACAGGCTGACTTGGCTCCAACCAAGGGGCCTAGTCCCTTTTGTGCCTCTGGCCCCTTGGGAGGGCCCCACTCAACAGTGATGGGCCAAGCATCTAGCTGTAAAAGTGTCCTCAGGAGGGCCCCTGGCCCCCGACCCAGGGTTGGATCTCACTTGCCTGGCTCTTTGTGACCAAAGGTCAGGCCATCCTGTGCACCTGCTCGGCCTTCCCTAGCAGAGGCTCTTTCTGGGGTGGGGTGGGGGATCCCACCAGCAGGGCTTTGTACAGCAGTGTTGGGGTGGCAGAAATCACTGTGGCTTCTCTCATAGGGCCTCTGGCCCCACCTTGGTACAGGTCAAGGTCAAGGGAGCCCACCCCAATAGCTGCATATAGGATTCCAGCATGTGTACCCCAGAATCTACCTTTGGGTTCTCCACCTTGGGGACAGTACAAGCCCAGTATGAGGGCATAATATTCTCCCTCCTGCCCCACATGTAGCTCAGGCTATGGATTCCCACCCCTTCATTTACTCATCCTTCAAAACTGCCCTGAGCCAGGTGCAGTGGTGCATGCCTGTAACCCTGCTGCTTGGGAGGCTGAGTCAGGAGGCTGGTCTGGGTAACATATGGAGGAGACCTATCTCAAAATAAAACAAAAAACAAAACCCTTCAGACTGTCCTGAGCAGCCATAGGCTGGGTGGTCTGTAATAGGCACAGGGCTCCTGGAAGCCCAGGAACTTCTGGTTCTCTAGGAAAAGACTCACAGTTGGGGCAGGAGGGACACCAGGACTGTGGAGGAGCATGGTTCTGCCTGACCTCCTGCTGTGTGACCTCAGGTTGCTGGTCTGTAGTGTCTGCGAAGGGCCTGCCTGGAGAGGTGGCCTGGAGGGTCTAGCTGTGGGACCTGCCAGCTTTAGCCCTGGCTTCCCCCAGCACCCACTGTCACTGCATACTATGTCCTACTGTGCCTGGGGGCCCCAGGGCGGGGCCAAGGTCCTGAGGGTGTGAGAGTGTCCAGGAGAGGGGGCTCTAAAAGCTGGAAGCCCTGGCCTTGTCAGAGTGAATGGGACCCAGTAGTGGTCCATGTGTGGTCACAGAACTCAACCCTGAAAGTAAAGGCTGTGGGTCACACCATCTGTGTCCTTGGCTGGCAGTTGCTCTGGCCACACGAGAAGTCTCCAAGGTGGTCCTAAGGGCCTGTGATAGCCAATGTTAGCTGGCCAGGACAGTGGCCACTGGAGCTCCCCTGCCGGGAACCTTGGGCTAAGCTCTGGGAAGGGGCACCTGTGTATCTCAGGCCTCGCCTGGCCACAGGGGACCAGGTACTGACTCCTTGTGCAAGGCCTTGTGGGGCCTCTTCCCGGGTGTCCTTGGGGATAGCAGTTGCAAAGGAGCAATCAGACCATAAATGGGAGTATCCTAGGGCTCCTTATCAGACCCAAGGGGCTAAGTGTGCACTGCCACACCCTCGGGCCTCCAGAGGCTGAGTAGAGGGGTCCCCAGGAAGYCAAGACACAGGAACCGCAAGGCATACCAAGCTTTTAATTTCCACAAGCCAGGCTGGTCTGGCCTCTGAGGCCCAAAGGGCTGACACATTGCCAAGAAATGCAAAAGAAAAGGGCTGGGCCAGCCTCTCAGGAGGGATTCCAGCAAGGACAGAGTCCTCAGTGGGGGCTGGGCCTCAGTAGCCATCATCAGCCCAGGTGACCTCATAGTCAGGATACTTGGCCTTGATCTTCTCAGTTGAGACGGAGTGCTGGGCACGACCATAGCCCTGGAAAGGTGACAGTTACTAGCTCCACCTGGCCCTTGGCTCTGAGAGTCCAGCCAGGCCAAGAGTGGGCTTAGAAGGGGTACCAAACCCACCACCAGACAGTCCAGGGCACATACAGGTGGGGGCACAGAGGGCTCCAGAAGTGAGCTTGTGGGCTCTGAGTTGCACCCTAGCAATGACTGCCCCCAAGAGCCCCCTAGGTCAGGGAGAGACCCACCCAGCCTCCTGTTCCAAGGCAACTGGCCTCCCACCCCTAGTGCCACTTGTCAAATGTAGGGGAAGCCTTAGGCCCTTGAGAGAGAGAGGGTTCTGAACCCACTGGGAGAATCCAGGTCTCCTGTGAGGCAAGTCAGGCCGTTCTGTGTGGGGTCAAATGGTCCAGGGTGGGCTTTGTAACCAGGACAGGGACCTCAAACAGGGCTCACCATGGAGTAGCCATAGACGTGAATCTTCTTGTCCTGGCTCTGGTGGGAGATGCGCCCACCCCCCAGGCACTCGCAGTCATAGCCCTTCTTTTGCAGTTCGCCAGACACTTTGTCGTAGATGTCGGCTGGGATGTGCAGAACAGCTTCAAGAAGTGCTCAGGGTGCCCTTCGARGCCACCTCTGAGCAGCCCCTTCCCCAGTGGAAAGGAAGCCCCTCCCGGCTGGCACAGGGATGAAGGCTTCGATGGGATGCTCCAGGGCGAGCACCGGGGCTAGGGAGGAGTCGGGCCGTGGCACCCCTTCCTGCGCAGGACCCAGACTTCTCTAGGTGCTGGTGCAGGACGAAGCCCACCAGGACCCACAGCTTCTCCGGCTCCGCCCACAGCCTCCCGGCCCCGCCCACAGGCGCGCCCCGCCCTCACCGTGGTACTCCGCCCACTTGTAGCCACGCACGATCTCCTTGCACTCCCCGGCCGGAGCCCCGGAGGGCTGCGTTGAGTGCACTCGGACCAGCACGTATTTGAAGACGCCGTCCGGATCGATGTCCACTTCAGGAATCTGGGCGAGATCCGCCGCCGCCATGTTCTCCGGAGTGCCTGTCCCCGGTGCCGCGGTCCCTTCTCCCACCCAACCCCGGGCTGTGCCGAGTGTCGGAGGCGGGCTCTATGACAGCTATGGCCAATCCCGTGGGTAGATGCTGCCTGAGGCCCGGAGCCTCAGCCAGTCGTGCCCCGGACCTGGGGCACGGACTGACCAATCGCGGTGCAGTTCCTTGCAGCCTGTGCCCACGCTGCCGCATTTAAAGGGAAAGTGGACTAGGGAAACGAGAAGTGATTACGGGCAGCCGACGGAAAAATTCCTTTTCACTGGGGTTGGGGGAAGGCACTTTGGAGGGGGACTGTTAAGCAGGCGTAGGACAGGAGGCCCCAGGGATGCGCCCAGGAAACCCCCCAGTCCCCAGTGCCACGCTTCCCAGCACACACCGACGCCCCAGGGTCGCACCCCACCGGCCGAGGAACTCCCTCCCAGAGCGCCCCCCCCCCCCCCCCCCCCCCCCCGACCAGTGACCTCCCTCCCCAGACACCCACGAAGAGACAGCAAGCCAGCAAGCAGCAGCTACATTCAAGTTCTATTTTACTTGGTTTGAAAGCGCTCGCCCTCTAGAAACGATTCCCGTCCAGGGGCGTTCCTGTGGGCCCTCAGGCGCGGGGCCCAATGCGGAGGTCCCGTGGCGGGGCGCAGCAGCGATTGCAGCAAGCGGGGCACCGTGCCGGTGCAGATCGCAGGCCCGGGCGGGGGCTCAGGAGTGTCGGGGTGGAGACACCGTCAGGGGTGAGAGCAGGGCGCGGAGGCAGGGCTCACAATTTATCGCGCTTAATGCCCCCTCCTCTGGCTCCGAAGGGATTAGAGGATCCACGAGGGCCCTTGCACAGCGCCTGGCCTATCTCCTTTCTCAGTTACACTGTCCTCTTTGGAGCCCCGGTGCGGAGCAGGATGCCCAAGGGAAGAGTGGTGGGGAGAGGGCACAGCTGAGGGCCGTCTGGGTGTGCATACCAAGGCATACCAAGCTCGTGAGTAGCAGAGTGAGAGCACTGGGACCTGTGTGCAATCGTGCAATGGAGGGACCTGACCTCGGGCTTGTTACATAGCTCTTCAGTTGAAACTCCATTGGCTGCTAACTCACTCCTCTTTCTCTACCCAGCAACTATCTGAGGATCCCCCTGAACCTTCCAGGTCCTTCCTTTGGCAGCAGGTAGATGCAGCTTCCTGGAAGGCCTCTGTGCTGTCCTCCCAGCTGGTCCATCCTATGTACATGCTTCTGACCTCCTGCCAAATTAGGGCCTGCCTTTGCATGCCCACCACCATGTTCTACTCTGGCACCTGTCTAGGGCCATCTTGTTGGGTATGGGCAGACCCCAGACCCTTGCCTGGCATGTGCCCACACCCGGATGCTCTGCTTTTCCTGCCCAAAATCCCCTCTGGCTGGTGGGCTTGCCCTTGGCTTGAAGACCTCTGAGTATCCAACCTCTCCTGCAAGACTTAGACCAAGGTGGTCAGAGGTGAGAGGCTGCAGGATGAGCAACACCTCAGAGTCTGGCTCGGCACTCACACATAGCTTTCTCACTTGGGGCATGGATGCACGAAGGCTAATCAGGGTGTTCTCCAGGAAGAAAGGTCTCTGAGGGAGTCACACCCCAGAGACAGGAGGTGAGCTTAAAGTGCCTATACTAGACTTTGGTCAACACAGGCTCCTGGATGAGCAGGGAGGGAGAGCAGAGGCTTCATCAGAGCCCCAGAGCAGATATGGATCCATTTGCATGAGTAGGGTCTGTGCAGTAGTGACCCTCAGCAAAAAGGCAGAGCCTGGAGGTCCTCAGGCCCACCCCACCTCCCAGCGGGGAGCACCTAGGGCGAGGACCGGTCTCTGTGGGCCTGGAGAGGCTGACTCTGGAAGGTGGGAACTGGGCAGCCCGGTGAGTTGTTGTGGGGAGGAAAGAGTTGGGAGGGCACAGTGGGGTGTGGGAAAATGGGGGGAGCTGGGAGCGGGGGAATTTGTCCGGGCAGGGCTCAAGAGAAGCAGCATGAGGGGCTGGTGTGGGCCTGGATGGATTCAGTGAGTTGGGCGGGGCTCGGGGGCGGCCCTGAGTGGACCGGGCGGGGCCTGAGTGGGCTAGGCAAGGATTCTGATCAGGGCCTGAGTCTGGTGTCCTCAAGCCTCACATGATATCGTCCAGCAGATTGGCGCTGGCCACCCAGTCCAGCGCGCGTGGCTCAGAAGCAGCCATGATCATGCACATGAAGGGGCGGCCGGTGCGCCGGTCTGTGGGGTAGATGGTGGTGGGCGTGAAGCGTCGGTTGGCCTCCACGAACTCACAGAGCTGCTCATAAACGCGCGGGAACTCGTGGCGCAGGAAAACACCTCGCAGCCGCAGCTCCCTTTGGATGTGGATGAAGGCCACCTCTCTAGCCCGCCGGCCCGCCTCTCCCTCTTGGTCCAGGCCCGCCGTGCCTGGTGGCGGGGTCAAAATCAATGTTTCCATGTCAGGCTCACTGCCCCGCACGGGGGGCGGCCGCGCGGGACTGCCTGCAGCCAGTGCCACCTTGGCGAACTTGCGCACAGTGGGCCCAGTGCTGCGAGGCGCGGGCGCCGGCCGAGCGGGCGCCCCGGAGGGCGCCGTGCCCGGACCTACCGCCACCGACACACTGAGTAGGAAGCACTCGGCCGGCTCATAGAGCCGCCCTGCGGCCGCCAGCTCTCGCGCATAGCTGCCCAGGGGCGCTGCGTGTGTAGCCAGCTCACGCAGGGACAGGTAAGTGGGCGACAACAGCAGCCCTTCGAGACCGAAGCGCAGGAAGTTGTCGGCCGAGCCAGGACTTGGGAAGCCCAGGAAGAGCACGCCGCGGCCGCGGGACAGGAAGCCGACACGAGCGATGCGCGAGAAAGCGCGATGCACGGGGCCGCTGTCACGGCAGAACTGAAGCACGTGGCGGCACACGCTGCCTACGCGGCCGTACAGGCAGCGCGCCTTGTGTGCGTCCCAGTCCTCGCGGCGGCACAGGCGTGAACAGTAGTAAGTGTAGCAGCTGTGGCAGGACTTGAAGTAGAGGCAGGCGTTGAACATGGTTTCCGTGCGCCGGCAGCGCGCATTGGAGCAGGTCATCAGATCGTCCTCGTCCGCACTGGGTTCTGGAGACCCGTTGGCTGCCTCGCCCGGGCCTGCAGGCTCCTCGACGCTGCCAGCAGAGGCAGGGGGCGAACGCGGAGGTGCCAGCGCCGGGGCTCCAGGGCCCGCGGGCCGTGAGTCCAGCGCGCTGCGGCGCAGCTGGCGGCCCAGCCCCTCTGCCGCCGGCTCTGGGGCTTGGCCTGCCGGTGGTCTGGAGTCGATGACCAGATCGGTAATGAGCTCGTCTAGTTGCTCTAGGCTGCGCTGGCGGCCAGAGGTGGGGCCCATGGGAGCCACCGACGCGGGCAGACGCGGCCGGCCTCCCGGCAGTTCCCAGCCCCTGACAGTCGGGCGTTCGGCKGCGCGCAGGTCGTTGTCGGTGATGGTAATCTCTGGAGTGACATACCAGTTACGGCTCAGGCCTTCCCCCGCACGGCCCTTTTCGGACAGCGAGGTCTCAGACAGCGAGAGCGCCGCGTAGCGTCTGGGTGAGGTGGACAAGTTCACTATTACTGGCGCGCGCCGGCCTTCGGGGGATGCGCCCCGCGGCTCCCGAACCTCCCGCCCTAGCAGGTTCTCATAGCTGCGGCCCCGGCCTAGGGGGTCCTCCCGGCGGGGCCCTGGCGCCAGGATGTTGTCCCATGAGCGTGAGTAGTGGCGGCTGTCTGTGGCCAGCCGGGGCGGGCTGGTGGCGGTGCCGCCATGCCACGAGGCCAGCAGCGGGCCGGGGACCGAGGGAGGCACTACCTGCAAGGTGCGGTAAGGCCGGGGTCCCCAGTCGGCCCAGGCTGAGCTGTTGCGTGAGTGCGGGTAAGTCCGAGCTAGGGCGTCACGCTCGCGGTACCTCCCGAAGTCCTCTGTGTAGAAGGTGTGGGCCCGAGGATCCTCAGGAACGTAGCGGGGACCAAAGGGCAGTCCATAGGCCCTGGGGACCTCCCCGTAGTAGGAGCGGGAGGGCGGTTCCTGGATCGGGAAAGTGCGCACTTCCCCTCCATAGTAGCCGCCCCCACGCCTCGGACTGGGACCCCGGGTCTCTTCGGATGGGTAGGGCCTAGGGCAGTAGCCATCGAAGGGAGGACCAGGGCTGGCCGGAAATCCTCCTGCATAGCCCTCGGGCTCCTCGGTGTAGAAGAATTGTGTAGGGCCTGGAGGTGTGCTGAAGGGCTGACTGCGGCGCTCAGAGTAGTCCCGAGGTCCAGGCAGGGGCCCGTCGCAGTACAGCGCCCGGGGGTCCGCACAGTACAAGTCACTGGGGGTGGGGGTACGCGAGAGCGCCACGTGGCGGGGACCAGGCACCGTAAGGCCGTGGAACTGCGGGGCTGCACGGGCCCAGGACGTGTTGTCTACGGGCCCACAGGGCCGCGAACCCCGGGCGGCGTGCTGCAGCACAGCGTCATCTGGCTTGATGTCCAGTCGGCATCGGACATGGGGGGCGGGCCCCGTGGGGGGCTCTGGTGGCGCACAGCGGCCAGGGGCGGCACACAGGGGCGTGATGCGGCCAGGGCCGCTCCGTTGTGGCTGCAGCTTAATAGGGTGCAGTTCGTTGGCGAGAGCGCGCAGCGCGGGGTACGCAGGCTCCCGGCGAGGCGACCCCTCTACCCGCATCGCACGCTGAGTCTCCCGGCCTCGGCGCTGCAGCACCGGCGGCGAGGTGGGCGCCGGTGCCAGGCCCGGGGGCGCTCGGGGCGCGCTCTTGGAGCGGGCGCGGCGCCGAGGTTCGCCTTCTCGGGGCCGCGCGCGCGGAGCAGCGGGCTCCGGGAGTGGAGGCTCTGGGTGGGCCTCCATGGCCGGCCCGTCCAGTGCCTCCAGGAAATCGAAGCTGCGGCAGTGGCGCTTGTTGAAAGGCGCGGGCGCAGCAGGCCGGGCCACGGATTGCTCACATGGCTGGCGCCTGGACGCTGGCCCCGGGGCCGCCACCTTGATGTCCTGGTACACGGTCGACACCAGCAGGTCCGGTGGGTCCGTGCGGGTCATCTTAAAAGACGTCCCCAGGCTGGCGGCTCCAGCTCACGCGGCCTTTTGGGGCTTTTGCCCTGGGGGGAGACGCGGGTCAGGGCAGCCCCCTCTGCAGCCCAGGCCCCTTACCCTCCCACCACCCTGGCCCGGCTTACCTGGGGCGCAGGGAGTGAAGCAACCCTGGCTGCAGGCCTTTGCCAAGGCCGCAGGTGCTTGCTCCATGCCGGCCTTAGAGGTACCCATGCTGACCTTAGAGATTCCTGCAGATGGGGGTGGGCCAGGTCAGCCTGAAGGGCTTAGCCTGCAGTGGTCCACGCCTTCTTGTCCCTAGGCAGAATTCCTCTCCTTGCTAGTGACCCCTGGGCAGGTTTGGATAGACAGAACCCCCTTTCTTGGCAGAGCAGGCAGGTGGGTAGGAGAGGAAAGTGGGGAAATGGTCCTAGGACTACTGCCCTCTGGTGTCCACAGCTGGAATGATGGGGCTCATTTTAGCTTTACTGGAATTGATTTACAGGTATAGATTCGTGTAGAATGCCCAATGCAGAGCGACCCTTTTAATTGTGCAAAGTGAGAGGGCAAGTCCCAGGACCCTAGCCTTAGCCAGTCCTACAGAAAGTCTCAGACATCCCCACTAGCCTGCTGACCAGGCTGAGCACAGTACCCCTCCCTCAGGGTTTCAAGGGCTGGGGACACTTGACTGCATCCAAAGCATCCAAAGCAAAAATGTCCTCAACGCCGAGTGGCCCAGGCCATAAAAAAGTCCTCAGAGAGCATGCCTGGGCCTCCTTTGACCCCAGCTGTCTTGGGGTGGCTGAAATCCACCAAGCTTGATGGGGCAGGCAAGGAAGGCTGAAGATCGCCCCCACCAGCTTTGCATAAGTGCACATGGACACCGCCCGGTGTATACATGGCAGCCTCAAAGTCAGGCTCAGGCCATGGAACCATGTACTTATGGCGTCCATCTTCCTCAGCTGAGAATTAGCTCACTCGGCCAGGAGGCTGCCAGCTGCGGGGGTGGGGTGGGGGGTGGGGTGGGAGGCAGGGTGGAGGGCGGGGAAAGCTCCCCGACTGCCTCCCAGGAGAGGGCCCTACCCCCTCCTCCTTCCACTCCTGAAGGCTCCATGGAAACCTGTGGTTCTTCAGCCCCTGAGCTGCAGGCTTGGCTGGGTCCAGGCTCCGGTTCAGATATGGGCCACCAGAGCCTCCAGGTCCCCAGGGCCAGAGGCTGGCTGGGGAGATGCTCAGAAAGAGGTGACAGCCCTCCTCCTCCTACTCAGCACCCACTTGGGGGGCATCTGCCCCAGGATAAACTGGGGGAATTAATGAGGGGCTAGCCATGCCCTCACCTGGCAGGACTGTAGGTGGACAGGCTGTGAAGGGTCAACTGTGTCCCAGCTGGGCATCAGCTTTCTGCTCACAGGGCTGCTTTTGGGTCAGGGCCACTAAGTCCAGTCTATGTCCCCATCCCAGGCTAATACCCACACCGGTCAGACCCCTCTTTCATCCTAAGCTCAAGGCCAGGCTGGAATCTAGGCTGGATGACAGGGTGTGAGGCTCCGCCCCAGGGAGGTGACAGCCAGCGCTGCCAGCTGCGGCTGTCAGGACCTGGACTCTGACACCCCCTCCCTGTGGGGATCGGGTGGTGTTGGGCAACTCCAGGACCCTGGGTCTTCTGGAGCCCATACGGATGGCCAAGCAGCCTTCCTTACCTCCCAGCCCTGCCCTGGCCTGTCCTGGAACAGCCATCACAGGAACTAGCCTGTGCTGCTTGGGGGCGGGGATGTCCCATCCTCTCAGATAGCTTCTGCTTGACAATAGCATGCTAGGCAGTTCACCCTGGCCTCTTACCTGGACGTTGCCCGAATCCTGGGTGGGCTGCACCAGCTCCAGCCGGGTCCTCTGTATCCCCCCGCACTGCTGCGCCCGGGCACCGGCAGAAGCTTCCAGGCAGCAGCGCTGATCCTGGCCTGGCTGCTCAGTACTGCCCCCAATGGCAGCCAAGGGGGCAGCACTTAAAGGGGCCGCACCCGGTGGGGGCTGCGCAGCACGGCTAAGGCCCCAACTGGTTTGCTCTTGCTCTGCTTTGGAGCTTTGCTGAGCACAAGGTTTTCAACATTCCCAAAATACAGATCTCAGGGTCCTGAACCAGGTCCAAGAAGAAGCCTGATGGTCTCACCAGCACCACCTCCAGGGCACCTGCACAAGCAGCAGGCAGCTTGGCAGGGCCTTAGGTCAGGGACCTGGAGGAGCCCCAAGCCCTGGCCTCACTGCAGACTGGTCAGGGGCTCCCAGAATGCATGTCTCCGGTTGGGCCCAGGCAGGAGCAGATGGGTAACTCCCTGCCCTGTCAGTCTTCCCAGGTACTGTCTATTTTGGAGCTTGAGGTGCCAAAATCTCAGCAAGTACCTGGAGCCAGATGGCTCACTCAGTCCAGAGTGGGCCCTTGGCTGTTTGTGTCCAGGCCAGTGGGCTGCGATTGCCCACTGCCCACCAGGAGGGTCTGCATGTGGCTCATTCTTCAGCCACATGGCTCTGTCCTCACTCCAACTCTTGCCAGCCCTGTGACCCAAGTACCAAGCCCTGGGCTATTCCAGCTGAGTGGGGAGGGGAAGGATGCCTCTGCTGTCTGAAAGGGGGAGGTACTTCCCCTGTCCTGTCCTGCTGGGTAGGGCCCCCACTAGTGTCCTACTGGGGCCACCACAGTGCTGCTCTGTGTGGTCCTGGGCAAATTCATTTGCCATGAACCTGCCCTCACAAGCTGTGGGTCACAAGGCYAGGCTCTAAGGTCAGCTGATTCCTGGCACAGACCTGCTCAGTGGAGAACTGTGCCTCCAGGACATACTGCACCCTGGCAGGGGTCTAAGGGGAGAGTTTGGGCATTTGAGACAGGCTGGCCTGGCCTACTGCATGGGCAGGAGATGCTGCGCTGTGCCCCATCCCTAACATCACCAGCTTGCAGCTCTGCTTGCTGGCCCCTGGAGGACTCCATGGCAACATCCTGTGGTGGGCGGGGGCTGGATGCTGCTGATTGCTGGTGAGGGTGGGGCTCTAAAGGCTGCAGGCAACTGCCCAGGAGGAAGGGAGGCTGTATGGGGCAGGGCACATTTGGCCTCACTGGGTTGGGCCCTGGGTATTCTGCAGCAGCTGCCTGGTGTTGGCCTAGGTGCACTACACCCAGGAGAGCCTTGGCAGTTCAGCATGGACAGCACATAGCACCTTCAGTGCCAGGAGGGGCCCCTGGCTGAGCTGAGGCAGCCAGTGGTAAGTCAGTCAGAGACCACTCTTGGGTGAGGGAAGCTGCTTCTGGAGAAGGTGTTTGGGGCTGTTAAGAAACCTAGGTGAAGGAGTGGTAGGCTGGTCCTACCACGGATGGCTCACAGAGCCAAAGAAAGGAAAAGAACAAACGCGGTGGTAAAACCAGAGCTTTATAGTCTGAGTGGAGTGTCTGAAAGGTGTCTCCAGCTCCAGCCTGGCTCACCTGTGCAGAGGTGCAGCTGCGCCCACCCTCTCCCAGGACAGGCCTCACCCTGCAAGGCGGGTGCTGCCACTCTCCCATGAGTGTGCACCTGTGCTCAGGGTCCATGGGAAGGGATAGTCCACAGCCCAAGGCTTGCGACAGGAAGCAGAACCCATTGGCATGCTGTGGCCCTGGAGAATTTGGGAGGGCAAGCAGGAGCAGGGCTGGGTGGTGGACATCTGAGAAGCAGAGCAGCCCCATGCCCTGCCTCTGAAAACAGACCCTTGCGGGTCCCTCCTCTGCCTCAGTCACTTCCCTGAGAAACGCTGGGGACTGGCTGTGGCTCTTCCTGGAGAGGACCAGGTCATCCACCAAGCCAGCTGCAGCCCAGCTGTCCCCTCCCTCCTTGTAGAGCAGGCTCATGCTGGCCTGAGGCCCAGCACCTGTRGCGCCTGGCCAGAGGCCTCTGGCCACCAAGGCCTGGCCCTGGGCCTCCTCCAGCAAGGAAGCAAGTGCAGAGCGTGCTGGGCCAGGCCACAGGGGGCGAAGGCGATGGCTGGGACACACGGTAGGGTGGTCCTTTCCCAGAACAGCGGTGCAGGCTACAGCTCCTCATAGTCTCCACCCCCAGGGTGCCGGCCTGGGGCCCCACCCCCCAGGAAGGCCTCTAGCTCGGTGGTGCTTCGAGGGGGCTTCCTCCTCTTCCTCCGCTCCTCCTTGCCCTCCTCCTTGTCCTTGCTCTTCTTATGTTTGCTCTTCTTCTTTGCAGCCTTTTCTTCTTCCTGGCAGGGGGACAGTCAGTCACCTGGGGCCACTAGGGGGCCATAGCCTACCTCCACCCAGTGCACAGGCCCAGGCCAGTAGAGGGTGGCTGATACCTCTCTGCTCTTCTTCTTCTTCTTCTTCTTCTCCTTGGTGAGCGGCCTGCCATCTTTGTCTGTGTGGGAGACATGCTTCAGCTGTGTGGCTACCTTGCCCAGGTGGCGTGCTGGACAGAGGCTTCTGCAGCAGCCCACTGCAGGTTGGGCCTGGCCACGGGTGACCTTGGAGTCTCTCATGTGCTCAGGCTGATACACCATGAATAGGCCTGGGAGGAAACTCCTGCTACAGTGCAGGGTTAAGCTGCTGGTCAGGGTCTGAGAGTGGAGGACCAGGGCCAGCCTGCTGGGGCTGGAACCACCAGCAAAACCACGTGTGCTCAGAACTGCAGATCACAGCAGCTTTGTCCACACTAGAGGCCAACTTTGGAGTAGATGCAAGCTCTCAGAGCGCTGCCACCAAGTACCTGCTATGTGGACCCCCAGCTGTCCACCCCTCCAGTCTGGTCCCAAGCCACAGCCCTAGAACACTCATAATCCTGGGGTGTTGGCAGAATAGTGAACATCTGGGGATTAGAAGCTCAAACTCTCAGGCTTTGGCCCTGCCCCACACTGCTGGTATTAGGCTTGTGCACGTGGCTGCCTCAGTCCTGGGCCACACCAGGAGGTACAACATAGCTGGAAGACCCCATTGGCCAACAGCTAGCCCAAGGGAAAAAGCTCAGGCTGGGCTGACTCTTTGGA